CCATCTAGTCAAATCCCTTGCTCAATGCTGGATCAGCCTAGAGCATCCCTGACAAGTGTTTGTCCAGCTGCTTCATGCAGAAGAGTCACAATTGTCTTTTTAAAAAATTGTGGCTAGGATCCAGAGAACTATATTTGAATATATACATTGTGTATGATCACATCTGCCCAGTGGCTGCTTCTATATGAGCAAAGGACAATTTGATCTTTTTCCTCCTCCTCTTCTTATATGAGGGAGAAAGAATGGAGAACAGCAAGGCTGGGCTCTGACTCTTGGGCTGTCTCTCCCAGTGATGCAAGTAGCCCTTCCTGCTTTACAAACCATGAAATCAAAGACTCTGCCTGTATTCCCCACACATACCCTGCCTTCTTCAAGTGGGTACAAACTAAGCTTTGCCTGTTGTTATGAGCAAGATAATGCCAAATAGCTGTATTGGCTTATGCAAGGAGTACTGCAGTTTATGAAATATAAGGATCCTTCCCAGGCCAATAAGCCAGCGATATGATAACAGAGAACTTGTATGCAAAATTGCCAATCAGGATAGCACTGTGTGGCACAAACACGAGTTAAGTGCTCTGGCTGGATGGTGTATATATCAAGAACATATCTGTTGCCATTCCCCTCTCTTCCTGCTCAGCACCCAGGGAAACAGAAGCCCTGTTCACATATTACAATGAACACATGTACATCTTGCATGGATGTATAGAATCATGGAGTTGGAAGGGACCTCCAGGGTCATCCAACCCCCTGCACAATGAAGGGAATTCACAAATACCTCCCCCCCCACCCCCCCCACACACCCAGTGACCCCTGCTCTATGCCCACAAGAGGGCAAAAAAAAAAAAAAACCCTCCGGGATCCCTGGCCAAATTGGCCTGGAGAAAACAGCTTCCTGACCCCAAAGGGGTGATCAGCATTTCTCTGGGCATGTAAGAAAGGGCCATGAGAACTAAGCAGTGAGGCAACCCTTCCTGCCCTCCTTCTCATGATCTGCCTAAGATCACAGAATCAGCATTGCTGTCAGATGGCCATCTAGACTCTGTTTAAAACCCAGAGTTTTTATGAAAAGGACCACCAGCTGAAAAACTGGTAGGGTCCAACCCCTATCAAAACCTATTAGGTCTACAGCCAAGCCTTTGGCCAGCTCCCCCAAGTCAATACCTGAATCTTCCTCATGAACACATGTTGAACACATGAACTCATGAAGTTGCCTAATACTGAATCCGGCCATTGGTCCATCAAAGTCAGTATTGACTACTCAGACTGGCAGCCGCTCTCCAGAGTCTCTGGCTGAGATCTTTAACATCACTTATTACCTGATCCTTTTTTAGCTGAAGAGGCTGGGACCTCCGGCATGTCAAGCAGATGCTCTATCACTGAACAACGGTCCAACCGAATCCTTCTTCATCTTGGTAGAATATGAAGCACTAAGTGCTACATAAATGCTAAAAATTATTTTCATGCCATACGAACACGAGAAGCCACATTGGACCAGGCCAATGGCCCATCCAGTCCAACACTGTGTCACACAGTGGCCAAATCTCAGGTGCCATCAGGAGGTCCACCAGTGGGGCCAAAATTCCAGAAGCCCTCCCAGTCTTGCCCCCCAAGCACCAAGAATATAGAGCATCACTCCCCCAGACATAAGAACGTAAGAGAAGCCAGGCTGGATCAGGCCAATGGCCTATCCAGTTCAACACATGGTGTCACACAGTGGCCAAAACCCAGGTGCCATCAGGAGGTCCACCAGTGGGGCTAGAATTTTAGAAGCCCTCCCAGTCTTGCCCCCCAAGCACCAAGAATATAGAGCATCACTGCCCCAGACATAAGAACGTAAGAGAAGCCAGGTGGGATCAGGCCAATGGCCCATCCATTCCAACACATGGTGTCACACAGTGGCCAAAACCCAGGTCCCATCAGGAGGTCCACAAGTGGGGCCAGAATTCCAGAAGCCCTGCCAGTCTTGCCCCCAAGCACCAAGAATACAGAGCATCACTGCCCCAGACAGAGTGTTCCATCTATATCTTGTGGCTAATAATAGCCACTGATGGACCTCTGCTCCATCTTGTACCACAATTTTTTCATTATTCCTCTCAACCTTTGGAGAGTCCAAGCAGCCTCTCTATAGAGTTTAGAACTTTGGAACTCCCTCCCTGGGAAAATTTATCCATCTCCCCCCCTATCAGTGTCTTCTGCCAGTGAATGAAGATGTTTTTGTTGCGTTTAGCATAACCCCAATAATGGTTATTGGCCTCCTCCCTGGTTCTGGTATTCTTTATGTGTTGCTATTGAATTATTTTATAATTCTAAATGTTGTTCTAATGTTTTTGTGTGTGTCGTCTTCAAGACCCTGGTCAGGTGGGAAAGGCAGCATAAAAATATTTTACATAAGATCCAGAAAGGGGGATGCAGTTTGTCTGTCTATTACTGCTCATACACCTATTGCCTTAAGCAGAAAGCAGATGCAATTTGTCAGCATCCCTCCCTTCCAACATATTAACAGCTCAGGTGAACATTTGGAGAAAATGCTAAGAAATCACAGCTCTTCTGTATCTCCCATCTATACACAGGACAGAATTTTCCTTTATAAATTCATTTCATATATTTTTTTTTACCAAACCTCCCCCTCAAAAAACAGTTAGCTCAATTCTGTAGAGTTTGAAATGTTCCCTTGACCAATCTGGCTTTTGACTACTGCCAGGGGATGGAAGGACAGGATTGCCCATTGGAAACAATGGGAAACACTTGAAGGCCCATTGGAAATAATGGGAGCCAGGAATGGCAATTGACTTGCATGGGCTTCCACTGAAATACATTACAGTACAAGTGGAGTTGCAATAAAAATGCGGAATGGATTTTCCATTAGGGTCTCTGGGCTCAAATAGACTACTTTGGCACTGGAATAACAGGCCCCAGCTTGGAATGACAGCCCCTAGGAGTAACAGAAGTCATTCCGCTCTGGGGCCTGTCATTCCAGTTCCAGAACACTCCTGCTACCCCCAGCGGCTGTCATTCCACTCTGGGACCTGTCATTCCAATTCCAGAACACATCTGCTACTCCCAGGCACTGTCATTCTGCTCTGGGACCTGTCATTCCAGAACACTCCTGCTACCCCCAGGGGCTGTCATTCCACTCTGGGGCCTGTCATTCCAGTTCCAGAACACTCAACTACCCCCAGGGGCTGTCATTCCACTCCGTAGTCTCTCATTCCAGTCCCAGACCACTCCTGCTACTTCCAGGGTCTCTCATTCGAGGCCCAGAACATATCTACCCCCAGGCACTTTCATTCCGCTCTTGGACCTGTCATTCCAGAACACTCCTGCTACCCCCAGGGGCTGTCATTCCACTCTGGGGCCTGTCGTTCCAGTCCCAGAACGCTTCTGCTACCCCCTGGGGCTGTCATTCCACTCCGGGGCCTCTCATCCCAGCCCCAGAAGACTTCTGTTACTCCTAGGGGCTGTCATTCCAAGCTGGGGTCTGTCATTCCAGTCCCAGAGTAGTCTATTTGGGCCCAGAGACCCTAATGGAAAATCCATTCCGCATTTTTATTGCAACTCCACTTGCACTGTAATGTATTTCAATGGAAGCTCATGCAAGTCAATTAGCATTCCTGGCTCCTATTATTTCCAATGGGCCTTCAAGTGTTTCCCATGGTTTCCAATGGGCAATCCTGTCCTTCCTTTTAGTACATCCCTACTGCCAGACACGCTGCAGAGCCACTGGCAAGACCTGTTCCCTTCCTCCACTCCTCTTACCTCTAAAAACTTTCCATCCCCAGCCGCTTCTCCCAGTGCATCCCGGGAGCAGCCTGGCGCTTGCAGGAGGCTTTCCAAGATACTATAATAGCTACCGGCCACTAAAAGAAGCCTTTGATCTTGCCCCAGACAAGTCCCCGGATTCTAAAATCCTTCCCATCCTGGTATTCCTTGTTTTTTAGAGGAAAGAGCTAATATGCTTTAGCAAAAGCAGCCTGCCTGCATTCCCCCCCCCCCCCCCCCCCCAGTCCCGACAGCTCAGAAATGAAGCAGCAAGCAGGGCATGGGTAAAATCCCCCCATACCAGGTGGCAGTGGCCGAAGCAGGACCTCCGCCCAGGAGCGGCGAGGGGCTTGCCTGCAATTATGTTGGTAGTCCTACCTACTGTGACTGAGAGGACGTTTTTGTTCAACACAACGTTCTTTCATTTACTACAGAATTTGTTTTCTACTTTCAACTTTTACTTTTCCTACCTCTCAGATGGTAAAAATTAAAAGTGCACATGCTATATGCCAGCATGGGGTACAGCAGTTTCCTACTTTTTCTCAAGTTCTGGATATAGTTGCAGTTTTTCTTACAAGAAAAAACCCTGTACTTTTACATTCCATGAATGTGCCAGTTAGTACAATCTTCTGTGCTAAATAACATATTTTATATCAGTAAAAGACGTTTAAGTATGATAAGAAATTAATTTTGATTTTTCCCAAAATATCCATTTTATTTTCGAAAAAGAGAGGGGAAAAAAGGTCCCTCCCATGGGTTCAAAGTTTCTGGAAACTGTGCATATCTAATCAACTACAACAAACATGATGCCTGCCGAGATCTTTCATGGTGTCCACTTGTTTTCAAAAACTTGGTACACCCATCAGGGCTTCGGATTGGCTGTGCAATGTTTTATTCTCTCTCTCCTCTTCCAGCGTATCCCACTTGTCCCCTGCACTTGGGCTTTCTCTCTGTGTGTCTGTCTGTCTGTCTGTCTATGGGGGCTCTGGCTCTGTCACCTGTAGTGGCCATTTTGTGGTTGCACCCACTGGGGACCCCGTTTAGATCAACAGACTAACTCAGCAACTCCAGTTTTTTTCATTCCCCTGTGATCTATGTATACACAAAAGCATCACAAGCAAAAGCCCTTCATATGTCAACTTTATTATAGCAAGGGGCCCATCACACTCTTTATGGCTCTATGAATTCAGCTATAAAAATAAATCAGTGTATCACCAAAACTGAAGAACCAACCAACCCACCTCTTATACATATCCAGCAGTCATCCTTCTTATTATGTTCGGCAAGCACTTCTTCAGTCACTTCTATCATTCCTCCTTTCAGCCCAGCAAGATTTTTCCCACTCTTAGTTAACCGAATCCAGTCCATAAGGCTTCGGCCTGGTTTTAAAGGTACCTAAAAATGGGATGAGGGGAGACAGAAGAAGAGGAGTACGTTAACTACAAGAGCATAGAAGTAAACCAGACCGGATGCAGTGTTCTCTTTGTAACAGCAATAATCCTTTTCAAGTTTTGGGTTTTTTTATGAAGCAACCTATAAATAAAGCCATAAGTAGAAGCCATAAGCAGACAATAGTTAAACTATAGAAAAAACAGAATATATGCAAGATACCCCTTCTTGATTCTGATTTTACATTATTTTATCTAGTTATTAAAGGGGGGGAGTAATGAAACACCAGAAATATATTTGTATTTATACCCACTTCTAGTTTGAAAATATTAATACACAACACAGCTCATAGTCATTCTTCATTTTTCATAACATGTAATTATTAATCAGTTCAGTTCCTTTATTGGCATAGATTGAAGCCATAACAAGAACCACAATTTTAATATACAAAAGACCTCCAGAGCATTAACATTATATTTCCTAATCCTCATAACATTTGAGAAATACCTCACTACTGAGAAGGTAATATGGGGGCACTGGTCCAATAAAAGGAAGGAGACAAGCCTCTCTTGTGGACAGCTATGCCTGTTGTGCAAAAGGGGACTAATTAAAACATCTCGTACTTTAACATAAAGTTCACAGTGGAGCAAAATGTGAGCAATCGATTCTGTTGTTTACTGCCACACAGACAGATCCTTTCATAGGAAGGAACATTCACAAATCTCCCACAGAGAACCGCTGACAGAAGAACATTGAATCGTGCAAACATGAAGGTTCAACGTAATTGTGGAGCAATAAGCTGTTGGTTGAAGTAAAAGACATTTAAGACCTTCTTGGGTGCGGGATAATACTACCGCATCATCCGTGTACAATAGTAAGACGACAGCTGAGCTTCCGGTTTTGGCGTCTGCTATGGTGGCCGCATTCTCCCGGAGCTCTGGGAGATGCGCGCCAGCGCCTGTGAGGGGGTGCGACTGTCTGCACCACCCCCAGAGCCCTTGCAATGGGCTCCCAGCCATAGGGTGCTAGGAGAGCTCTTCCTCTGGTGACTGGCCAGTGAAGGGGTGCTCTTCCATGCCCCTAAGGTCCTACCGCAGAGCGTCCATGAACGGAACTAAGAATGCACACCGGGACAAGCGTTTGGTGGCTGAGCGAATTTGTGAAAAAAAATGGTTGCATCATTGAACTGTAAGTCAAAGTCTAAGTGAAAACGCCTGAAAACTAGCCAAAAGTGTCCCCTTTAGAAGCGCGGGGGGAGTAGCAAACAAAAGGGGGCGGGCTATTAAAACAAGATGGACTGAAATAAAAAGCACATAAGAACTTACCAGATGTTTCTAGGGTTCCCAGAGACTTTGAGAACTTTTATAAAAAGTAAACAATCTCAAACATGGCGCCTCTAAAGAAGGAGGAAAAGGAGAAGATACTGAAACTGAAGCCTCTTGCAGGAAGTGCCAGCCCAGCGAGTTCTGTCCTAGACAGAACACAACGATAGAACTTTAAAGGATGCTGACAGAGCTACTGCGCCCTCTACTGGAACAAGTGATGGCATTACACCAAAAATTTGATGCACAACAAAACCAACTCAATGAGACTGTGGAAAAAATGCAGAAAACGGAGCAAGAGCTCAAAGAAATGGATGCCAACACTAAGAAGCTTAAAAGACAACTGCAAGTGATGGAGAAAAAGAGACTACCTGATGAGTCCCATTTGTTACAGTTACAAATCGAAAGGGCAAGCTATGCCCTAAGATTTCAAGGAGTTCCTCAAGAGAAGGGAGAAGATCTAAAGCAGATCATGTGTGATGCTATAGCCCTGACAGCAGATATTACAGCAGATATATTACAAACCAAAATAGATACGATCTTTAGGTCGTATTCTGAATATAAAAGGAAGAATAATCTGCCCAGGGAAGTGATAGTGAGAGTCTCCAAAAGACAAGTGAGAGATCAAATCCTCAAAGCCACAAATGGAGCTACCTTGAAGATCAAAGACAAAGAAATTAAAATTTTGAAGGACATTCCGTTTGAAATAAGAAAAAAAATTCAGAGACTTCAGAAAAATAACATCCCCTACAGATGGAATGTGCCCGAAGGCGTAACCTTCAAATTTAAAGACGGAAGAAAAAATGGACTCTGTTGAAAAGGCATTGGAATTTTTGCAGCAACATAATCGTCCAGCAGATGAAGAAGATAAAGAGAAAGATGACAGCACCAAGGGGAGTGAAGATGAGGGAGAACTGGCATCTTCTAACGAGGACTCAGATTCAAAACTTGGGGCGGCAGCCCCAAAGACAAGTTATCAATTGAGAAAGAAAAAGGATAAAGAGTTGTCATTGTTTCTAAGACCCTTAATAAGGACTTTAACTATTTCTTATATTGCTTTTTATGAAGTCAGATGCGTAGATGTTATTCTTTGTTATAAGTTTAAATAGAATGTTTGATGACCACATCCAATGAACTTTAACTGAAACTGTAAACTAAAAGCTAATTCTATAAGCATTTTGTATGACCACCATCTCTTGGGGTTTTAGGGTGTGTTTTTTTTACTTTACTGTTTCCCATAGTGTGTAGATCCCCTCCCTTATTTTGTTGTAGTTTATAGAAAATGCAATAAAAAATCCCCTATGGGGGGCATTAAAAAAAAAGTAAGACAACAGCTTGGGAGTCCAATTTAGGAAAATGGCCATCAACCTCGTGCAAAGTAGGAGCTAGGTCCTTCATAAACAGGTTGAATAAGTAGGGAGCCAAAATAAAACCTTGATTCCTCAATTTATAAAGCTCTTGGTTGTTAAATACCCAGATGGCCATATCTAGCTTGGCAACTAGTAGAAGAGTATAATTTCCGGATAAGGAAAAGTAACCATTTGTCCAGTCCCATCATGTAGAACTTGTCCCACAAAAGGTTCCTAGGTATCGAGTCAAAAGCTCCTTTTAGGTCAGGGACAGCAGAAAATAGGTCAAGGATAGCAGCACTATATTTCTCTACCAGGTGAGCAACAGTTATGCAGTGGTCTAATATTAACCTAGTATCCTATCAGTTTAATTTTAAATAAAAAATAACCTTTTCAACAGATAATCCTAAATGGCCATACTAGATCGATCTTTAATAATGAATTACTTATTTTTTGCATATTTTCTTATTTATATATACTTCTTCCTTTAAAACATTAATTAGTATTTTTCATAAATACATACAAGCATATTAAATGTACCCTTGACCTGGATAGCCCATCAGATTTCAGAAATGAAGGAGGGTCCGCTCCTGATTAGTACTTGGACGGGGGACCACCAAGTAAGTCTAAGGTTGCTATGCAGAGACAGGCAAATAACTTCTGAACATCTCTTACCTTGAAAACCCTATGGGGTCGCTAAACAGTTTAGCATAGTGTGTGTCTAATGTTGCTAAGAGTGGCGTGCTTCAAACAATATTTTTCCATAATTCAGTTATTAATTGTGGGATGTTCCATATATTTAATTTGGTGTGTAAATCAAGAACCACACGGCAACATTCACACTTTTCTCAATACGATCCTTACTCCTGATGACTCAAACAGCAATATGTGAAGTGACTAACATTACATGGCGCGTATAGGGTCGGATCCTGCACAGGGATCTCCAACTTTTTTGGCTCCCGTCTCCCACAGCTATTTCCAAACACAAAAAGCCTTATTCTTGGGGTCACAGGAGCTTCATGGAGTAATTGCTATGAAGGTCAGAAGTATACAGTGAAGACGAGGGAAGGGCACTCCCTTCTTCCTTCGCTTTCTGCAGAGCTCTGCTCATGCAAGAGGAAGAGCAAAGCTATTTTGTTTCCCCCTTTAATAAGCCAGTTAAAGTGTCTCCAGGACCTTTCCCTTCCTCACTGCAGCCTCCTGACCTGAGTGGCTGGTACTCTTGGGAAGAAGGGTGACCATCAATGCCTCCCACTGACAAATCACAAAGACTGTAGCGGCTCAGCTGGCCTATTTCCACTTTCAATGGTAGTTTGCCTCTATACTAGTCTATGTTTATTCATTTACAGCCCACCTTTCTCACTGAGATTCAAGGCAGATTTATACATACACACATACAATATAAAAATTTAATCTAGCAGCTTAAGACATCCAACATACAATGCAATATGATTTAGGATTACATAACTAGAAAATAACACAAACAAAACATTGTCTAAGACATAAGATACAATAATGTAGAAGCTCCCCTAGCTGTGAGATGCACTGGCTATTCCCAGACTAGGAGCTCATAGCTTCTGGTGAAAGAGCGCATGAATGTCACCTTACAGACATGACAAAAGTGCAGTAAGGAAGCCTAAGAGACTTTGCTTCCTTCATATTTTCTTCTGTTCTCTGTGTCCATAATACATCTCCAACTTAGTATAGATTCAGCACCATTCCATTACTTGAGGTAATTGTTATCATTCAGAATAGATTGTTGAAAGGCTGCACACTTCTGTTACATGGGTTGAGTTGCTAGAACTGGAAAAATGCAGGCTTGGATGCTTGCAGGGGCCAAGCCAAGAGAACTTTAAAGATTCTACAGAATCTCTGCTTAATTTTGCTACTCTTGTAAAAGTTCAGGGAGCACTGCCCACAGAAGAGAAATTCGATATTGCAAGAAAAACTGTTCCAGGTGAAAATTCACTATCTACCACACTGTTCAGTAGGAATCAGGTAGACTGGCAGTCTTATCACATTCTGTTACAGAACTTACAGTGCTGAAGTTTTCCACTGTTATAATCAATACACCTTGACCTGGATAGCCCAGGTTAGCCTGATCTTGTCAGATCTTGGAAACAGGCTAGTATTTGAATGGGGAACTCCAAGGATTATCAGGGTCATAACACATAAACAGGCAGTGACAAACCACCTTTGAATGTCTCTTTATCATGAAAGCCCTAAGGAGTTATCATAAAACAGCTACAAATAAAATCCCACATGTTGAGAAGCATATGATTTTAGGTTAGTAGTTTTAGAATGACAGTGGATCGACTGGGCTAAAATAGCTCAGCACAGACTAACACATATTAGCAAATCAGCATCTGATTAGACTAACTAGAATACGAATGGTCAAAAGCAAACCAAGCCCTGGTTTCAACAAACTCACAACTATGACCTGGCATTAGATCTGAGCCCAGCCAGAGTCTCTCAAAAGCAAGCTTGCACCTGGCATCTCCTTCCTACCTCTTTTAGGCGTTTATTATCAAAGCAACCACTCTGCAGTACTCTCAGCAAGTCAAAGGGAGAAAAGAATTAAACCCATCAGCGTTACCTGCGACACAGGCAAAACACCAGCTGCCGTATATTCCTAAGCATTCAGAGATTCAGTCACGGGTTTCACCCAGCACAATACAGCAGGTGACGTTTCTCCCATACCCCTGCATCTCCAGGTCTAGGCAGAACTCCACCTGCTGAACAGCCACCTGATGTGAAGCTGGTTCCAGAAACACGAGACCTACTTCCCCTTCCTCTCCGCTCACCCTCCCCACCATTCCGCAAGCCTAAATCCCGATTCTGCCGGTGCCGCTACGCAAGCCACCCACCGCACCAGCCCGCCCGGACGAAGCACCCCTCTGACGTCTCCTCGCACCTTGCTGCGCCCTGCCAGGGCCACCCGCTGCTGTGAACCGGGGGCAGGAAAGGCCTGAGCGGGGACATTCAACATTCTCTTCCACACAAGCTGCCAGCACAAAGAGCCGCTACCGCCGTCACACTTTTTAGCAACAACTTCCGGGCGCCTCCCTTCGCCAAAGCCAACCCCGAGCGAAGAGGAAAGGCCAAACAGAAATACTGCGCAGGCGCAAGAGTGGTCCACATAGGGAGGCGTGGTCAAACTCTTGCCGCGCCAGAGAAGTGGGCTGGTGATGATTGACGCGATCTGCTTAGCGTGTGACTCTGTGAGACTAAGAGGCGGGAGATGCCAGTTAGGGTTGTGCGCTCTTTAACGGCCTCAGCTGTCTCGTTTGGCTGCCCGCAGTAGGTTCTGCGCTTCCGACGCTGATTGTCAGCGGGAGGCATGAGCTTGTTATGCACCTTTAGTCGGGAGTAAGCCCATGTGGCGTTTCTTCACTACGGAGCTTTGTCCGTGGGGGTTTCTTCTAAATAAAGTCATGGACGCGCGCAGATTTTGGAACCCCACCCCCCGGCTGTCGCGCGCCCAGCCGATTGGTGAAAGCAGGGGAGGCAAGAGCCAGGCGTCGCTCTGTCACGCCTTCGCGTTCCCCCTCTGTTCATAAGGAGCGTGATACTTTGTATGATTTTAGAATGTAATCTGCTTTGAAGAGCACGACACCTGTTGAAAACTGGTATATAAATAACAGGACTGAATGTCAGGGTGTTTATGTCGATAACACGCATTATCAAGTATAATATGGTTGAATGAACTCTTGTTTAAATACAGCGTCAGGAACGAAACGGTCCCAGAAACTAAAGCGGAAGCTGCTTTATACTCAGACTATTGTCTATCAAGGTCATTATTGTCTCCGCTTAAATAGCAGTTATACAAACTTGTCCGTTTAAAAAGCGGCAGCTCTTACGAAGCCCCTTATGGAAGTCTTTTTTAAACTGGATATTTTAACTGGAGATGCTGCATTCAAAGCAGGTTCATCTGCCATTGAGCTAAATCCCACCAGTTTTAGCTGAACTATGAACTCTCTAACTGGCCTCAGGTATTAATGTCTCTTTGATTGCCCTATTGGTCATGCATGAACACAATGGTGCTGTCTTAAAGGCCTGTAAACATTCTTCTGTCAAGACAATATACATAAATAATTTTGAGCATCATATGTGCATAAAGTGCTGTCAAGTCACAGCCAACTTATAGCTACCCCATAGGGTTTTCGAGGGAGGCGATTAAGCAGAGGTGGTTTGCCATTGCCTTCCTCTGCAGAGTCTTCCTTGGTGGTCTCCCATATGGACCCTGCTTAGCTTCTGAGATCTGAGGGGATCAGGCTATACCATATCATTCCACATCCCTGCTTTGACACTATAAAGTAAATAATGAGTACCTCATACATCATCACTATAATTAAAAGTGCCTCTAACAACAGCTTAACCTTAGCCACTGAACGCCAGCCAAAGTTGAAATGGCTCTGAAAGATGGTTAGGTTTTGGTATCTGATAACAGGGGAAGAGGTTGATAGCTCTGAGCCAGCCACCAAGAATATCTTCCCTGTATAATGGGAAATTAATAAATAGGTAGCATAGTGGAGTTGGAAAGGCATAAGCCAGTTAATTTTTTAAAAATGTAGTTCACAATTTATTAACTTGGTTTAAGCATTCATTTAAGCTACATTTACTTGGGAGTGAAGCAATAGTCCAATACTTGCTTGGGAGCAAATCCCATGTTTAAACTCTGTAAGAACAGGCATATGCACAGGATTTGACTTCATGTATATTGTCCTAAGAATATAGATGTTACTTTTTTTAGCTGAAGTGCTATTCCCAATATCATGAACTGTGCAGGACTGGGAGCAAGGCCCTAGTGCGGCCTGGTCCCAGGAGAGACCTGCATGGCAGTGGAAAGCAGACATAGCCTACAATCCCCACAATGTTTAGCGACAGTTGTAACCAATCAGTGTCCAGGGATTGTGTGAAGAGACTGTTACATACTTTGTGAGCTGTGGAAAAATGGTGTTATTTCCTCTCACAGAGCTAAACTGAAGGGGACTGTGATATAAACTCTGTGTGCTGTGTGGAAATTCTTCTTTCTCTTCTGCGGTCTTCCCTCTTACAGAGCTAAACTGAGGGAACAGTCTGGTCTGAGGAAAAGATCCCTCACTTGCAACAGAGTGAGTACAGGAAGGAGGCCTGGTATAAGAGGGCTGTGGGCCTTGAAGTAGTAACCAGTTAAGTGAGCTAGGTAGTTGCGTTCGATTCGTTTATTTTGCCTTTAAACGCTGTTATACAGGGGTCTTGTTGTAGAAAAAGAGCTGCCGGAGCTCATTAGCATAACTCATTAGCATAACTTATTTGCATATGCCACGCCCCCTGACATCACCGGAAGTGACAGAAGGCCACACCCCCTGACATCACCGGAAGTGTGTCAGAAGGCCACACCCCCTGACATCACCGGAAGTGTGTCAGAAGGCCATACCCACCACTCAGGCTTTTTACCATAGCTTTTTATCTATTATAAAATGCATATGCCTTCCTTTCTGCTGAGCATCGCAGGAAATTTTGATCCCGGTCCTCAGAAGCATTTCTGCTGAGCATCACAGGAATGCAGAAATAATTTTATGAAGCAAACATTAAAAACAACAGATATTGAAACCAGTCTAAATACACCTAATGCCCCCCCAACAGGGGAATTCACCTTCTGCCTAGGTCTATAAATAAGTCAATAAATTCCAGTTAGAGCCAAGGGGGCTATAGAGTTTTCCATACAGAAATCAGTTTGCGATAGACATTTCTATGCCCTCTGACTTTGATGGGACTATAAAGGCATAATTATGCAGGGGATTACACCGGTGTGGCTTCCTGGCTACACTGATGGACAAGGCTGTGTTTGAATCCCCCACTCAGCTATGGAAGCCTGGCAGGTGACCTTGGGACCATCACAGTCTCTCAGACCAGAAGAACAAAAGAGAAGCCAATGTTGGATCAGGCCAGTGGCCCATCCAGTCCAACACTCTGTGTCACACATCAGCCCAAAACACCAGGTGCCCTCAGGAGGTCCGCCAGCAGGGCCAAAACTCCAGGAGCCCTCCCACTCTTGCCCCCCAAGCACCAAGAATGCATAGCATCACTGCCCCAGACAAAAGAACAAAAGAGAAGCCATGTTGGATCAGGCCAGTAGCCCATCCAGTCCAACACTCTGTGTCACACATCAGTCAAAAACACCAGGTGCCCTCAGGGGGTCCGCCAGCAGGGCCAAAACTCCAGGAGCCCTCCCACTCTTGCCCCCCAAACACCAAGAATGCATAGCATCACTGCCCCAGACAAAAGAACAAAAGAGAAGCCAATGTTGGATCAGGCCAGTGGCCCATCCAGTCCAACA